CGGCTTAAGGTAATAAACAAAGCCCCTTTCCTTCAGGTTGAGGGGGCACATTGTATAACAGTACTGAAGGTCGGCCAGGGTGATCCTAAGATTCTCCTGCCTAGCTAAAGCTATAATACCGTTAATCACCCTATAGGAGTTGATGGTAAGTTGCATGGGGTTCAGCTTGTAGAAATAAAGAACTTCACGAAACAGGGGATTAAGTGGAAGCCGAAGTCCACATTCAGTGAAAGCTACTATAGGAAAGGGCATCGTATAATCTGTGGGCATAATGGAATCATCATCCCCAGCTAGTCTGAGGTGAACATCGAATGGGATGGAAAACTCCTGCCGAAAGTATTCGAGTTTTGTTGGGGTATTTACCCTATGCCTCCACATACCCATTACGTCGGCCTAAACAAAGAGGAATGTGTTTCAGAAGATGGGCGTTTTAGAAGGATTGCAAAAACCTCGACAAAGGCCTAGGAAAGGACTGATAAGGCTTGTTTCAGTTTTCCCTAAAACTTAAAGGCTCTACACACAAATCCCAAGCCTAAGAACTATAAAGATCAAGATCGAAGGCACAGATCTGGGACAGATACGAAAAACAGAAAACGATGACGCTTCAGAATCAAAGAACAGAGGTATGGTTCTCAGAAACGAAAGAAATACAGAAGTGAAAAAATCAAGAACAGTGGCAAGAAAAGTGGTAAAATAGTGCAAGTGTTCAAGATGTAGCCACGATTCAAGATACAAACAAATCCAAGGCTTTGAACAAAAGCAATAATGACAACAGGCAGACGAAAGCACATAAAGAGAACTAAGAGTGAAGGGAACAGAATCTTACCAGAACAAATGAAGCCGGGGCAATATTCGCCGAGATCAGATATCGGTTGTGACAGCAAAGAAAGCTTCGCAAGAATAGAAGATTAAAGACAGTTTCAGAAGAGAGATTGAAGCAATGGCAGATTCGAAGAAAAAAGAGCTTTCGGAGAGAGAAAGAGCAATAAATCAGAATGAAAAAGTGAAGAAAGAAAGAGGCAAAGAAAAGTTTTGTCAAAAACTTGAAACGGCGGCAAAAATAGGGCATTTATTACGCCTGGAGGGCCGGATACGTCAGACGGTGCAGACGGATGAAAAGACAGCCTTAAGGCGCGTCGCAGGAACGGGCCAATAAAAATAAAGCATTTGAAGAGAACGGTTCGAAGTGCATGACAGCTCATGCGCGTGGGAGAGTACGTTCGAAACCTTGTTCTCCGAAAAGAACACATCGGCTGGAAGTGGATTATCTCGGCTAAACAGTTTTTGAGCCATTACTTAGAAAAGAAATGTCAAAATATCGATATAGGTTCCATCACCTCAGAATGCCGAGGTAATAGAACCTAGGGGGCAGTTGTGGGGATATATTTTCTGAATACCAACACGTGGCATGGTGACGCTGACGTGTCAGTCGAGGTGCCACGTGTCGTGGTAGTTAGGTCGAGATGATCTCGGAGTTGCCGAGGTTATCTCCGAAGATATCGGAATCCGAGATAAGCGAATAAGGGACAAGAGTCCTAAGACGAAGAGGGGACTTAACCAAGATAAGGATAAAGCTCTTAGGGAGTTTATTTTTATCTCTTAAAGAGTCCAAAGAAAGCACTGAATTGGAGTTCATAGAAGTCATACTTCTAGTAGGACTTGGATTGAATATATTATAAAAGAGAGGCACCCCCGTGGGTCTAAGGTATGCAATTTATGTTTTGAGTATTAAGTTTAGCACTTGATTATCTTTGAGAGATATACTGACTTGATCGTCGGAGTGCCCCCGGGTGGAAGAACCACCGCCGGAGCCTTTTCCTTTTGTTACAGGTTGCTGAAGCCATCTATTTTGCCTGTGCTCTCAAGTTGATCACTAAGCAGGCAGTGTGGTCAGATTTTCACTCACACAGTTCCATAAAAATTGGAACCAAATCAATTTATTTAAATCATGGAGCCAATCCGAACCAAACCATTTAAACACAATTCAGCTTGTTTTAGAACTACGGTTTCACATAATCAATTTAGAAAGAAAAATTATATAACATTTTCATTTCAACATAGGCTCATGATTTTTCAAATCATAAACACGTATATTATTCAACTATTTACTTACACAAACATAATATCTATTAAATAAACATATTATTCAACATGTAACGAGCATAAAACATAAACATGCATACGTACATAGTCTAGGTCACATACGGTCCAGATTAGTTATAATCTGGAATTGTGAAGTGAAAATCGGAATTGATTAGCGAGAAACGATTCCTTAATTTTTCAATTCAGAATCGAATCATAGATTCAAAAAATAAACCAAACCTACCGGATTGGACTGAATTAGTTTGATTTGCGGATTTTACGAATTCTTTACTCAACTCTACCATTTAATGACCGAAACTTGGGGTGTGTGTGATGAGTATTTGTGGTTCCTTGACAAGAAAAAGCGTTCTTGTTGAATGATTATACAATTTAATAATGTTACATCTATCGAATTTGGCTTCACTTGAATTGCTCGAGTTTGTGCATGCCGATCATTTGGGAGATTGTCTGGCCGATCATCGGGAGGATGCCGATTGACAATGGTGACATCTATGATTGACAAGAGTGACGCCAATTATCTAGGCGATCGTTTAAGCGGTCGTCCGATTTACATAATTCGAGCAATTCAGACAAGTTTAAATTTGGTGTAGCAATTATTTTTGTATACAATTCTTATACAAGTTTTATTTATTTATTATTTCTTTGTTTTTTGTTTTTATTTTTGTAGTAATCGAAGCATAGCAAACAGAGACTCATCCACAATGCAGAAGTCAAAAACTCATCGTCCATGATCAAATTTTTAAAAGCAAATGCAAAGGCATAATCCTTAAGGTGTAGAAGAGTAAACATTTTGAATTTTTATATTTAATAAAACAAATTAAATATTTTAAAATAATAGAAGTATATTAAAAATTAAATATTTTTATACTCAAGGAGTCTAATAATTAAATATTTTAAAGTTCTAACTATTATTATACTCCTTGAGTATAATAATATGTTACTAGATGGCGATATTATAATTATGTCTCATTGATCACGTTTTTTTATGTTGTTTCATGGGGAGAAGTAGGCCAGGCCATAAACAAAACTGGGTCCTTTGGGATGATGGGCCAAAATCTGTAACTTCTAAAGCCCACTAAAATGAAGATGGGCTAAGTTTAGTTTTCAATTCCAATCCAGTGAATATATACAACATGAATCAATGATAAGAGTAGGTGCTATCTTTTCAACATTACTCTACCACTCATACAAATTGGACAACTATGCCAATTGTAAATTGTTAATTTATCTCTTATATGAATCAAGTTTGGGTAATTTATCTTTGGTGCCAATTTGATTTTATACCAATTTTAACTTTGAATGTTTCAGTGTGAATTTTGTCTAATCGATAATTGTCATTTAAAAATTGGACTGAAATGGAAGAACAAAACAATTTATTCACTCTTCATAAAGTAATTGAGAGGTTACCGTTCAATTTGAAATTGCCCATTCTCTTTTGAATTGAGTCATTTTGCTCTTAATTTTTCTCTAATTTCTAAATGACTGTTATCAAGTAAACTAGATTGACACTATGAAAAATTAAGAAATAAAATCGATATATAATTGAAACTACATAGATCCAATCGACATAAAAAGATAAGATATAAGAATTACAAATCTAATTTGGCTATAAAATTTTTATTTTGTTGATGCATACTCTGCCAGCTTTTCACAGCACCGACCATTCGTTGGACTTGATAAAGAATATTAAATGGAGGAATTATCATTAAATAATATACTTATATTAAAGGAGAAGAGTAGGTATAGGGTAATTTTAACCATTTGCCAGTTTGAAATCCATAGTGAGCTTGTTCTCATCTCAAGTACTGCTTAGGATCAGAGTAAAACACTGTCACCTTAATATATGCTTTCATGGGCAAAATTGTAATCTAAGATAACACCAACCACTATACTTCAGTCATATTGAGCAGGGTCTCAGAAAAAAATTCAGATTTTTGATCAAAATTTGTAACCAATGGCCAAGATTCTTTCATTGTTTGATCCCAAACAAATTTGAATATACACTGTCGATTTACAATTATGAATAATTTTCTGGACATTTTTTATGGGTTGTCAATACTTTTACACAAAAGACAAAGTTCATGACAAAATGTAGAAACACAGAAATAAATGACGGGAAAATAACATAGGGTTGTTTTGAGAAGTAGAAAAAAAAAAACTAGTTTTTTAATTTTTTTTTTGAAAAAACATATCAAAAAAATAAAATAAAATAGAAATGTGATGTGATGTGACACAAATAAGTCAATAAATTGATTTTTTTCCTACTTTCCAAAACAAGTCATGTTAGTTATTTTTCGATTGTTCTGTTTGGAAAATCATAATGAAAGTATGTATTTAAAAACGAGGGGCGTTTTTTTTGTTTTTGTTTTTGGTGACATTTTGAATTGACTTATTTACCTTATTTTGATTTTTGAACTAGTATAAATTAGAGGGTCATTGCAAAAAGCAGAAAGTAGCCATAAACTCTTGTATAATGGGACTTATTTTTGTAAAATTGTAGTAATTGACCCTATTGTCTGTCTGTATCCATGCAAATGTTTGTGACAATTGAAACATTTTCAAATCTAGAATAAAACAGTAGGGTAGACCCAAGGTTAAAAACAAAAAGAAGGAAAGATGAGAGTGGTAGGACACAAATTATTATATATTTATATTATAACTCTGAAAGTTACAATCAATATGAAAGGTCTCGCGGGTTCTTTTACTTAGCCACCACAGCTTGCCAATCCCCTTCTTACACATGTAAAAAAGCTCATGAAAAATATACTTTGAAAAAAATATGTATCAATAGCAATCTAGAATTGACCGCCCGGATCGGTTCGGTTCGGTCGGTTTTGACGGATCGGTATATCCGCTGCTCACCCCTATTAGATACATAAAGAAGGAAAGATGAGAGTGGTAGGACACATATTATTATATATTTATATTATAACTCTGAAAGTTACAATCAATATGAAAGGACTCGCGGGTTCTTTTACTTAGCCACCACAGCTTGCCAATCCCCTTCTTACACATGTAAAAAAGCTCATGAAAAATATACTTTGAAAAAAATATGTATCAATAGCAATCTAGAATTGACCGCCTTGGAAAGTCTGGCCGAATTGCCAATTAGCAGGCACCACGTTGTAGCTTGTCACAGTTCTACCGTCACTGGCAGTCACTTGAAAAGACAGGCTTTGGCCATTGAGGTAAGAGTTGCTCTGCCAGTTCTGACCCCAGTTTCTTGACATGGCTTGCCACCCTGTCCTGGACCCCTTGATTGACACTGCATGAACATCCCCTGCACCTGCGACGTTGGTGATCAAAACCAAGTTGAAGTAAGAGTGGCCATTGACGGTGAATCTAATTCCTCCTTTCTTCACACAAGGCACCCTGTTACAAACCAACACAACTCTCATCTCATCAATCAAATATTTTTAATATGGCTTAAATTATAATTACAAAAATCACATTTTTTCAATATAAATATTTTGAAAGTAACATTTTTATTGTAATTTTATACCTGCGAAAGGCAATGGGCACGATTCCAGCACGGTATTGAGCAATTTGCAAGAAAGCAGGCTCGGCCAAATCGAAGTGTTGGAGGGGAGGGTTGCACCAGCCACCATTGTCGTTAGGCAGAGCGTTGTTAGGTGGGCAAAAGTTTGTAGCGGTGACGGTGATGGTGGCAGGGAGGCACCATTTGGGGTCGTCGTTGCATCGCATCTCGTAGCAAGCCCCGCAGCTCAACCCATTGTTGAACAAGGCTGTGCTTAGTGCTGCAGTACTTGTTCCATACCCTTGACTGTATAAATTTCCATACCCACAAGCTCCTCCTGCAAAACCCCCCCAAAACCCACATATATAAGACCAAGTCCGTCTATTGGAAAATAAAGAAAATTATGACGGTCAATTACACAAATGGTCCCAAAGTATGTATCGTTTAATTGTTCCATTTTCTTCTTTAAAATATGTGATATATTATATTTTACTCCTTGATGATATTAATACTGTTCAAAATCACGAGAGAATGGGTATTTATGTAATTTCACTGAAAATAATAAAATTAAAATATTAGTGGTAAAAAAATGCAAGAAAGTGAATATTTTAAAGACTAAAATGAAATAAAAATGCATATTTGTATGTATTTAGTCATTTTGATTATATTGAGTCTTCGTATAAAATTTTAAGAATATCTCTTCTCGCTGACATTAGTGACTGAAATGTAACAAATCATAAACTTTTGAGATTAAAGTAGAATAACTAAAAAATTGAGAATTATAGTGTAACATAACGTATAATTGAGCTAAATTTAGATATTGAGAAGGTAGAGATGCAACTAAAGAAGTATGTACAAGCTTGGACATACCCATTGTCCCGGAGGCATCACCGCCGCCATAAAAGGTGGCATGAGCGCTCTGCCAACCTCCATTATCCGCGGTAGTGCCTTCTAAGTGTAGGTTGATCACCAAAATGAAAAGAACTAGTGTTCCAAAAGAGAATTGCTTAGTGGCCATTGGATGTTTTTGAAGACTACTTGCACACTTTTCTTCACCAAAAGTGTATAAGGTGGTGGTTTTGTCTGAGGCTTGAGCTGAGAGAGGTGCAGATGATGGCTATTTATAAGAGAACTGAGGGAGAGAGAGAGAGAGATAGAGAGAGAATTCAAAGTAGATAAAGGAGGAAATCAAATTGGCACATGCAATGGCCTTGGTTGGGCTACCAACCGTTAACTCCGTGGGTCCGACTTTCCACATGCACCTCTCAATCTGTTTTCAATCACCTTATAATTAGTAACATTAGATTTTTGCAACATTCGTGTGCAACTGCTACTAAATACTACATTTAATTTTCTATAATGTCAATTTATTTTTTTTCTATTTTTTCATTATTACTAAACTGTTGGAAGTTTGGAGTTACATGATGAACATTTTGTCACTCATATATGTTTACTCCTTTTAATAAAGAAAATTTATCATAATTTAATATATATTATATCATATTATTTACGTAATCTTTTTTAAGAAATCTCAACATATATAAGTGAGTCATCTTTTTTTTCATCACTACCATACAAAAATGAGTCAATATATCTTATCCGTAGATTATATATATATATATAAACTTGATAACAATAATATATTATTTACGTAATCTTTTTTAAGAAATCTCAACATATATTAAGTGAGCCATCTTTTTTTTCATCACTACCATACAAAAATGAGTCAATATATCTTATCCGTAGATTATATATATATATATATATATAAAAACTTGATAACAGTAATACAATGCTTCCATTGGGGTTAAATGGCAAAGGATAAGAGCTCAATTCAAAAAGAAAATAAAGAAGAGGACATTAGGTAAGAGGGCAACCCATCTAAATTAATGGCCGTGAAATGCTGAATTTTGTATATATATATATACATATCGTATTATTATTATTATTTTTTAATTTAAAGAAACAATGAAGTCAGAGAGAGTGTGAGAGAAAGATACAGAAGGTTCTGTAGCAAAGTTGAAATACTACTCAAATTATTGTGTAACAGCATGAACTAATGAAAATTTGGGTCTAAGTTCACACCAAAATAGGATGTAATTGTGGGTGTGGACATTGACTAAATTGGCCTTTAACCCCTATATTCCAAGATTTGAACCAGGTTGAGTGCAATGTAGCCTTTGAAATTTATGCTTTTGACTAGGATGATACTCTTTTCCAGAAGTTCTCCCTGACTTACACATCCACAGCTGCTTTTTAAACTAACGTTTATTGTCAGTTTTTGAGTAGAATAAAATTTACTACTTAATTATTTTTGTGTACACAATAGGACTGTTTGTTATAGGTTTTGGGGGTGATTATAACTTATTTTGATTTGAGAGTTTGTGTCAAACTGTTTGGTGCAGTTTCTGCTTATAACTTATTAGGCAGAAATAGTTTAAATAAGCTAAAGAAAGCTGATTATTTGAAAGCTGAGATAGAAATACTTTTAACTTTTGTTTTCTGATTATCAACTTTTAAGTTGAAAAAAACTCCACTAAACAGGGCCAATGTCGCTCTCGGTCACTTTGAATATGGGGTATGCAAGTGTAATATTATAAAAGATGTGAACGAAACTTTTTCTAACATCAATTTCTTTGTGGAATTCGGTTTTGCAACTAAGAAAGTTCATTTAACAATAATTTCGACATCATTTGGTATAATTTATTATAAGTTAAAAGTTAATAATCAGAAAATAAAAATTAAAAATACTCATCTCTTAGTTTTTAGATAATTAATATTTTCTTTTTAATCAAATTAAATATCTAAAGAAGAGCCCTTTAATTTTGTAAACTAGTCGACACTGATATTGAAAACAAACCTACAATGATAAAACCTTTTCCAAGCTTTAATAGAAAGAAGATTATTAGTTGCACCAAATATATATATATACATATATATTAGGACAGGAAATTTTTGCATAGTAATTTTCAAAAGCATTTTACTTTTTTGACCTTTTAGTGGCCATTCTATTGGTGCAACTAATAAATTATTTTTTTTGGTGCACTTTAATTTCTTTATCGTTGAGTTCATTTATTTATTTGTTTTTTTTTGGGTGAATATTAATTTTATTTTCCACCGAAATGGAAGATGTGGACGTGATTGGAAACTCTGTATTTCTAAAATGAAATCCAAGATTAATGATAAAACATTCTGGATATAGTTTGGGATCTAAATATGTGTCCTTTTTAAATTTCAGATTTAATTTTTATTAGGTATTCATCAATTTCTTGGGATTATACTTTGTGAGTGTTGGCCGAGATTCGCCAAATGTACATGGGATAGACGTTTTACGTGAATCGTGAAATTAATTGAGATACGCCAAAATTAAACTGAATATCTGATCATGAAAAAATAAATTAATAATCAGATAAAAAAGGGTCTCTTTCGACGTAGGCAAAGACTGGCAGACATCAAAACGTGATGTGTCGCTTTCGTGTTGAGCAATGATGACTCACATTAAACTAGTTGGCCGAGACTCTTTGGATTGGCCCGAACACCTCATATAATCCGATATACTGGCTATTCTTATCATATTTTTTATTTTTATTTTTATTTTTATACCATTTTTAGTAAATCATTTAATGAGTCTCACAATTTATATTTAACTCTAATACAATATTGATATATAACAGAAAATATTATAGTATTATTTAATTGTGTTAATATCATATTTTAATACCTTACAACGTCAAAATATCATATTTTAACAGTTTTATTTATTTATTTGATGAATAAAAGATCAAAAATATTTGAGAGCTCTAAAATAAGACTTCTAATGAAACTCTAATGGGTGGGGTTTGTTTGGGAATTTTCAAAATTTATAGTTTCATTTTAGGGTGTTTTCAAAACCTTTCTTGTTTTTCTTTCTTTGGAAAACTTGAAATAAACTTGGGAACTTTGTTCCGCATTGAAAAAAGAGCAAAACATGAAGCACTTAATAAAGTGTTACATGGAATATTCCTTTAAATATGAAATTAAGGGATGGATGCTAGTGTGCATGCACTCACACCGTTCGCACATGCATGCCTACATGGCGTAGGCAGTGGCATTTGATGGCGCCACGAGGGTGCTTTCCTATTTGCATCGGACAGGTTGGAGTGATGACATAGATCCAACGTGACGTGGAATACAGTTAGCTCCACGTGTTTTCCTATTTGCATCGGACAGGTTGGAGTGATGACGTGGATCCAACGTGACATGGGTGACGTGGAATACAGTTAGCTTCACGTGGCAGTGATGTGGCGTCTGTTGACAATGAGTCAATCAATCAATCGAACGGTTGCATGTTCGATCTGGAGCGGTTAGATCATAGTTGTTGATTGGAGATGTGTGTGATCATAGGAATGAGATGGCACCTGATTGTGATCAGGTATGATCAGTCAAGGCATTTATTCGGTGTGAGAATGATCTGCACGATAGATTGTCAATCCAATGGTCAGATTTGATCAAATGCGATTAAAGGACATGACCATTCGATCAGATGTATCAAGACCTATAAATAGGCTGCAAAATCAGCCATTTCAATCCATCCAAAAAAATTTAGAAAGCATTCTTGCAATTCTCTCTCTCTCTCTCTCTCTCTCTCCACCTCCCTCACTTTTGATTTAGAATTTTTGATCAAGAGTTTTTTAAGTAAATTTCAGCTTTTCTTATTGGTAATCAAATTCTGTAGACTTAATTATCAGTGTCTTGGTTTTCTTGATTGTATCAAGAGTACTATGATATATTGTCGTCTGTGCAGACGCTGGTAGACTTGATCTTTAGATCAAGCTTTATTGTATCCTGGAGGCGAACTTTTTGATGGGTGCAAATATTATATTTAGGAAAGCGACTAAGTAATGTGACTTGAAGCACCACATTTCTGTTCTTCATAGACAAGATTATCGCTAAGTTTTGAAGACCCAAAGACCACCAATTGAAGAATTCAAGACAAATTGTTCCAACAATCTAAAGACAATATTTAGATATGGCGATATCTATTCAGAAAATGACTCAAGATTTCATGAAGTTTAATCGATTTGATGGAGGAAATTTTCAACGCTGGTAAAAAAAGATGCACTTTTTGCTCACCACTTTCAAAGTGGTCTATGTGCTGATTACCCTTTATTCGGCGGATCAAGAAGACGAGACTTTGGAGCAAATCTGTACTAGAACCAAATAGGAGAATGACAACTACATTTGCCAAGGACACATTTGGAATGCGCTGTCAGACTCTCTGTTCAATGCATGTCAACATCTGAAAATGGCAAAGCAACTTTGGGACATGTTATAATCAAAGTACCTCTCCGAGGATGCCACTAGTAAAAAATTTCTTGTTAGTAATCTTATGCGTTTTACTATGATACAAAGCCCATTATGGAACAATTCCATGAGATCCAACATATTTTGAGTCGGTTTTGACAAAAAAATATAAACATAAATGAATCTATTGTAGTTTTATCTATAATAGAGAAACTGCCATCTTCTTGGAAGGATTTTAAGAAAACTCTGAAACACAAAAAAGAAGATTTAACTTTAGAGGAATTGACTTAACACCTCTAAGTTGAGGAAGAGTCAAGACTTCTTAAAAGTAAAGAAAATCAATTGGTGCAAACTTCCAAGATTCACATGGTAGATGATGGCAATAGATGTAACAAAAAGAAGTGTAAACGTGACCCCCAACCTGAGAAAGATGGTAAGAAACCGAAAAGCACTTGCTGGCACTATGGCAAGCCAGGGACTTTAGAAATGAATGCCGATCATACAAGAAGAAACTAGAAGCATCAAATGCTAAGAACAAGTTCGTGGTTGTTGTATCTGAGGTGAACATGCTCGAAAATGCTGGTGACTGGTGGATTGACTCAGGAGCAACAAGGCATGTCTGCAACGACAAGAGCCGTTTCACTACTTATGAACAAGTGAGTGATGGAACAGTTCTTTACATGGGCAACTCTTCAATTGTTGCTATCAAAGGCAAATGGACGGTGGATCTAGAGTTCACATATAGAAAAGTCTTAAGTTTTAACGATGTTTATCATGTACCTGATGTCAGGAAAAATCTTATATTTGGAAGCTTGCTTAATAAGCATGGTTCA